ACATCATCCTCTTCATCTTCTTCAATGTAGGTAGGCACATTTCTTAAAAAAGGAGGAGTTTCGAAAATATCAAGATTCTCATCTTGATTTTCATCACTACCTTGCATCTTTCCTTGTATAACCACTAACCATCTTTTATTAGAAGGATCTGTGACATAAAACACCTGTTTTTCTTGAGATGCCATGATGAAAGGTTCGTCTACATAAGCTAACTTGCTAAGATCAACCAGTGTAAATCTGAATTCATCGATTCTTACACCACTGTTGATATCAATCCATTTGCATTTAAATATAGGAACTTTAAACACAACATAATCAACTTCTCAAATCTCTTCAATTACCCCAAAGTATGGTATAGATGCAATAACAGGGTTTTTATCTTTAGAACTAGAGAAGTGCATAGACTCAGCCACAGTCATAACCCCACTATTTTGCATGGTACTGCGGTCATCCTTTGACTTTGTATAAAAGGAAGTTTTATTAATATCATATCCACTCCAAGTTATTATGTTACATTTAGGCTCATAGGACAACCACTTGATTATATTAGAAGCATTATCATCATCAACAATTTTTTCTTTAAACCACTCAGAGAAACTCTTATTATGTTCTTTTAACAACCCTCTTTCATTCATCTTAGGATACTTTTTCTTTATGATGCTTTTGTGAGCAGATAAGTAAAGTTGAACTTCATCCGTGTTATTCAATATATACAAATGCACTTGAACAACCACCTCAATACTTAAGCTTTTGACCTTCAAACCTTGTGTACCCACACCCTCACATCTTCCATCATGACGAGACTAGGGAACCCCTACAACATCCACATCTGACAAATAGTTTGAACAAAACTCAATTGCTTCTTCTGCAATGTACCTCTCAATAATCGATGCTTCCGGACGGTGTGGGTTTTTTGTATACCCTTTTAGGATCTTCATGTATCGCTCTGTTGGATACATCCACCGTAAATGAATTGGACCACATAATCTAATCTCCCTTACTAGATGAACAATCAAGTGAACCATAATGTCGAAAAATGAAGGAGGAAAATACATCTCTAATTGACACAAGATAACTGCAGCCTCATTTTCTAAATCATCTAACTTTAATGGATCAATGGCTTTACAACAAATTACATTGAAAAATAAGCACAATCTAGTTATAGTCTTCCTAACATTGTTAGGCAATGTCCCACGAATAGCCACTGGTAGTAGCTGTTGTATTAAGGCATGATAATATGAGATTTTAAGCCAATTAATTTGAGATCTTTAACTGATACAAGCCTCTTGATATTTAATGAGTAACCATGTGGAACTTTAATACTTTGTAAACACTCGCAAAAACTTGTTTTCTCTTTTTTAGACAAAGTGTAGCAGGCAATAGGCAAATATATCTTGTTATCTATATGTTGTGGAGTTAACTTTTCTTGTATACCCATCAAACCCTAATCCAGACGATCATTATAACCATCTTTTGTCTTGCCTTAAATGTTGATAAGTGTTCCGATTAAACTATCACATACATTTTTCTTTACGTGCATCACATCAATACAATGTCTTACATCAAGACTAGACCAATATGAAAGATCGAAGAAAATCGACCTCTTTTTCCATATATTTTTCACAGTAGATTGCTTTTGGTACTTTCCAAAGACAACATTAATACCATGTTGTCGTTGATAAACTTCGTCTCCAGTTAAGGGCTTTGGAGCAATACCATGCTCTTGTTCCCCATTGAAAGCTTTCCGTAATCTACGATATGGATGATAACGATTCAGAAATTTTCTATGCCCAAGATAAACAGTCTTCTTTCCTTTTTCAAGTTGATGGTAACATGTGTCTTTTTCACATATGGGACACGCTTTATGCCCTTTAACTTTATACCCAGACAAATTGCCATATGCTGGAAAATCGTTGATGGTGCAAAACAACATTGCACGCATATTGAAATGTTCACTAGAATACGCATAAAAACATTCACCCCTTCCTCCCATAACACTCTTAAATCATCAATCAGTGGACTTAGATAAATGTCTATGTCATTTCCTGGTTGTTTTGGGCCCGAAATCATCATCGATAACATAATATATTTACACTTCATGCACAACCTAGGAGATAGGTTGTAAATCATCAGGAGAACAGGCCAAGAAGTATGGTTAGTACCTAGATTACCAAACGGACTCATTCCATCAGTAGAAAGTTCAAGTCTAAGGTTTCTCAACTCTTTGCCAAAATTTGGAAACAAAGAATCTATTTTCTTCCATTGCAAAGAATTAGCTACATGACGAATTTGTCCATCACATTTTCTTTCTTCTGCATGTCATCTAAGATTCTTTGCGTCATTTGCATTAGCGTATAATCTCTTGAACCTTGAAATTATTGGTAGGTACCATACTAATTTTGCGGGAGGACCCTTTTGGCCACCTCATTGTCACTAGTATATATATAATCAGGATTTAGAATTTTAATAAAATTTCGTATTTTTCAGTCATTTTAATACTTACTCAACTTTGTAGATTTAATTCAAACTTTTAAATTGTCTTTTATTTCTAAATATCATCCTAAAAAGATCAAGATCCGCTAATAGTACCTCAAATATAGAAACTATTATTATGGTTAAGAATCATAGAAAATATTATATGTTTATTTTTATTGAATAGAAAAAATATTCTTTAAAAGTTTGTCTTTTTAATTTTTTAAAGAATGCTTAACTTCTTTTGTATATAGATATTGCAAGTTGTTTTGTATATTGCAAGTTCTTTAAAAATATTATAGTTTGTAAACTTAAGTGATCCTCCTATGTTTTGGAAGTTTTTTATTTTGAAACATGTGTTTTGTATTCTAAACTTTTTACTATTTTTGAAAAAAATTTGATTATTTTTTATATTTTTGAAAAAACTTATTTTTTTTTTCAAATTTTTTTTATTTTTTTTATATTTTTGAAAAAAACACAATTTTGTCATATTTTTGCAAAAACTGGATTTTTTTATATTTTTGAAAATTTTGAATTTTTTTCATATTTTCAAAAAAAACTTAGACTTTTTTCATATTTTTGAAAAAACATGACTTTTTCATATTTTTGAAAAACTCGACTATTTCATATTTTCGAAAAATCTAGACTTTTCATATTTCTGAAAAAACTCGACATTTTCATATTTATGAGAAAACTCGACTTTTTCATATTTCTGAAAAAAAAACTCGACTTTTTCATATTTCCATAAAAACTCGACATTTTCATATTTCTGAAAAAAATCTACGTTTTTATATTTTCGAGAAACTCGACTTTTTCATATTTTTGAAAAAACTCGACGTTTTTAATATTTCTGAAAAAACTCGACTTTTTTAATATTTCCAAAAAAACTCGATTTTTTTAAATCTCTGAAAAAAATCTACTTTTTCATAGTTATGAGAAAACTTGATTTTTTCATATTTCTAAAAAACATCGACCTTTTCATATTTTCGAAAAAACTCGACTTTTTCATATTTCTAGAAAAACTCGATTTTTTCATATTTCCGATAAAACTCGACTTTTTCATATTTCCAAAAAAACTTGACTTTTTCATATTTCCGAAAAATCTCGATTTTTTTCTTCATATTTTTCGAAAAAATTCAACTTTTTCATATTTCTGAAAAAACTTGACTTTTTTCATATATCCGAAAAAAATCGACTTTTTCATATTTTTGAGAAAACTTGACCTTTTCATATTTCTGAAATAACTCGACTTTTTCATATTTCTGAAAAAAATCAACTTTTTCATATTCCTGAAAAAACTTAACTTTTTCATATTTTCGAAAAAAGTCTACTTTTTTCATATTTCCGAAAAAAAATATACTTTTTCGTATTGCTGAGAAAACTCGACTTTTTCATATGTCCGAAATATTTTGACTTTTTTTTTTTTCATATTTTCGAAAAAAAAACTCGACTTTTTTCATATTTCCGAAAAAACGCGACATTTACTTATTTCCGAAAAAACTCAATTTTTTCATATTTTTGGAAAAAAAAATCAATTTTTAGTATTTTTGAAAAAAATTGACTGTTTCATATTTTCGAAAAAAACTCGACGTTTTCATATTTCTGAAAAAACTCAACTTTTTTATATTTTCGAAAATACTCGACTTTTTCTTATTTCAGAGAAAACTCGACTTTTTCTTTTTTTTTTCTCGAAAAAACTCGACTTTTTCATATTTTCAAAAAACCTTGACTTTTTCATATTTCCGAAAAATCTCGATTTTTTTTCATATTTTCAAAAAAAAAACTCGATTTTTTCATATTTCTGAAAAAACTCAACTTTTTTCATATTTAAAAAAAAAACTCGACATTTACGTATTTCCGAAAAAAACTAAATTTTTTCATATTTATAAAAAGTTCAATTTTTTGTATTTCTGAAAAAACTCGACTTTTTCATATTTTCAAAAAAAATTCTACTTTTTCACATTTATGAAAAAACTCGACTTTTTCATATTTTCGAAAAAACTCAACTTTTTTTATATTTCTAAAAAAAACTTGATTTTTTCTTAATTACTTACAAATTTAATTTTGTGAAATAATTTTTTTTATAAAATTTAAAATATACATTAATAAAAAGAATTAATTAAAATATTTAAAGTGAGTTTTTGGATGGACGGATATCTATCCATTAAAATAATGTTAACGAATGAATCAGATGAATTTTATCTTTAATGGATGGATTGGATTTGATATATTTTTTTAAAAAAATTAAAGAATTGTCAACAAACTAGGAAATTATTTTGATTAATCCATCCATTTTGTCACCTCTACTATGCATTTCTCTATTATTATTATTATTATTATTATAAACCCGGCCTTGAATATTAATTAGAATATCCCATTCCTATAATATTGACTAGTGACATATAAAAAAAGGAAACATCACAACCCCTTAAAATAAAACTATTCTTATTCTTATCTTTGATTATATATATAAATATATTGGTTTCACCAACAACATTGAAAACAAAAGAAGCTGAGAAGAAGAAGGCATGGCTGTGAGAGAGATAGAAGAAGGAGTAGTTGATTCTAATTCAACTATTCCTTTGAAACAACACTTTGTGTTTGTACATGGCTTAGGTGGAGGAAGTTGGTGTTGGTACAAAATCTGTTGCCTTATGGAGAATTCTGGGTACAAAGTTTCATGCATAGACCTTAAAAGTGGTGGAATCGATCAATCTCATGCTGATTCTATTCTAACTTTTGATGATTATAATAAACCTCTTATTGATTTCTTATCTGGTTTACCAGATTATGAAAAGGTATAAGTTTTATATATTTTTATTTTTATTTTTACTTTTATTTTGATTCCCTCACCTTATATATTATAATACTAAAATACATGAATGAATCATAGGTTATATTGGTGGGGCATAGTGCAGGAGGGTTGAGTGTTACCGAGGCCTGTCACAAATTTCCAAATAAAATTCGTTTAGCAGTGTATGTGGCAGCAACTATGCTTAAATTTGGATTCTCAACCGATCAAGATCTTAAAGATGTGAGTCATTTTCATGAACTCTCTCTGTTATGTTTTTTAGCATGTTATAAGATTCATATCAGTTCATATTGGGGGTGGGGATAGTATAATATGATAGTGATGTACTATTGGAATAAAAATATCTTTAAAGATTTTCCTTTACAGCAACTATGATGTTCTTGTTTCAATATTTGGTTGCCAACTGTCTTCACACAAACAAACATATTGCTAGTTTTCAGGCAACTCTTATATGGCTGTATTTTATTAGAGTCAATAAAATGAGTTTGCTTTCTCATCCAACTCTGTTCATCATTGGTTTATAAGTCAAATGTTTTACTCTAAATTATTATCAACAAAATATGGCCCTAATATTCTTGAGTTTTCTATGAGAAATTATAGGTCTCACTAAGCATTATTTTTATTTAAGGGTGTGTATGGTTGATTATTTTTAGAAACTAAATTATAATTACTTTTAAATTAATTAAATGATTTGGATTCATAACTAAAAAAACCGATTATAAATTTGATTATGGTTATATAATCGGTTATTATTATTTTTTTCAAAAAAATTGTTTTCTTTAAAAAAATAATAATTTTTTTCCAAAAAAATTAAAAAAATTTAATTTTTTATTCGATTATTTTTACTAATCAAGAAATGATTGATTTCACATTCTACACTCACTCACTTGACTTCAATCACACGCTAATTTTTTCTTTTTTTTTAAAGAAATCCAGAAAAAATATTACTTACACACTAACGAAAGAGATAGAGTACTCCTTCCATTAAATTATAACAAGAAATAAAAATAGTGTTTCATAAATTAAAAATATTAAAAATAAAAATAGTGTCTCATAAATTAAAAATATTAAAAATAAAAATAGTGTTTCAATTTGTTGGATTTAATTACAAGTACATGTGGATCATGTAAGTAAATATTTGTATAAGTTAATCAAGTATTACCGTTAGATTAGTAAAAAAATGGATGAAATCAAAATAGTTAACATGAATACACCATAAGAAGCTATTTGTTTTAATAATATTATACTTCTGATTATCAGAAGATTTGTTTTCAAAAAAAAGTTTTTTTTTCAAAATAAATACGAATTTTCTTTTTAAATTGAAACATTTGAATTTTAAATAATAACAGTATTATAATTGGATCCAAAAATAAAATATAGTTGAATAACCAACTATTAATAATTAAACTGATTAATAACCATTTAATTATATAAAGATATTTTAAATAAATTTGAAGGATATTTTACCCACCCTTATCAAAAATTAAATTCTTAATTTTTCAAATCTTCATTTCTTAAAAGAACTTCTTTATCACTCGAGTCCAATTACTTGGTTTATAAACCAAATATATTTGATTTATTAAATACTTTTTATGTATATTTTGTTAGTAAGTAGTATTATATAGATTATATATATATATATATATATATATATATATATATATATATATATATATATATATATATATATATATATATATATATATATATATATATATATATATATATATTATTTTTATTAACTAAACTAATTGTTTGATGTATCTCCACAGTTATTAATTAAACTCGTTTAAAAGAACATCTTAAAATTATATTTTAGTTCAAAACAAAATGATGAAAATGTATCTAATTCTAACCCAATCTTTTGAGTTGTAAGAGCCTAGAGTTAGAATGTGCACGAGCAAAGCTAATAGTCTTTATATTCGCAATCATCAATCTAGTAAAGTTTTATGTGTTTCTCTTCCAAACTGTCTACTCTCATTCATCACCAATAATTTGTGACATTCATTGCCCCTATAAATAGCAATCATTGTACTAATCATTATTTATTGCTAACATCGTGTTAAAAAAAAATAGTAGCTAGAAATTGTTACTATGTAGATAAATTGTTTGTGGTGTGTGGCAAATAGGGAATACCAGATTTATCGGAGTTTGGTGATGTCTATGAATTGGGGTTTGGATTGGGACAGGACAAACCTCCCACAAGTGCTTTGATAAAGAAACAGCTTCAACGCAAAATCTTATATCCTCTAACCCCTCATGAGGTACATAAAATAATATATATATTAAATTAATGTTTTATAAATTTGTATTTATATCTCCAATAAATAAATAATGATGTGCATGCATATTTCTATAAAACTGTTCAAATGTAAGGTACACACCCACATGGTTCATGACAAATGCTTTTGGTTTATGCTTAATTTCATCCTCTGCTTTTCTCACATGTAGGACCATTATTTGTACCAATTTTCTTGTGCAAAAAACAATAATCTTCCAAAGAAAAAAAATTTGGCAAATATTCTAGACACTATTTGTAATTATTCAATAACTTTCATTTTTATAAACTATTATTAATATTAGCATGTCGTGTCTGATATCTGTGTTGGTGGTCGGTTGTCAGGACTCAACCCTAGCTGCGATGCTGCTGAGGCCAGGGCCATTGCTGGCATTAACGAGTGCGAAATTCAGAGAAAATGCCGAAGAAGTGGAGAAAGTGGGACGTGTGTACATAAGGACAAAGCAAGACAATGTGATAAAACCAAAGCAACAGGAAGCTATGATAAATAAGTGGCCACCAAGTAGTGTGTATGAAGTGGATAGTGACCATAGCCCCTTCTTCTCTGCTCCATTTTTACTATTTGGTTTGCTTATTAAAGTTGCAGCTTTTGACGTTGGATGCAACTAGATACATATATTTAACACAATAATAATCACCACGTTTTTTTCTTTTATCTGAACATCATAAGAATTTTTGTAGAATAAGATGGATGGGTATGGGTGTGTTTGGGTGACTTTATTAAACAAAAGGAATAAAATGAGTGTCTATTGGATTTTGCTGGGTTATGAAAATCAACATCATGCTTTTCTTTTTGTTTATTTTTAGAAGGAATCTCTTTGTCCATCTCTATAAAAAAACTATCTTGTTTTTAACTAATTTTTTTTTCTTATATAAAATTTGGAATTGAAGATGTGACCACTTACATTGTATGTGTTACTTATAGATCACATATAGATTCTCAAAAGGGAAAAAAAGTGTCACTATGATGATATGAATATTGTTCATATATATAATTGTGATGATAAGTCAGCTCAATTGTATGGATTTCATATACGAGCATATGCTAAAACTTGCGAGGTCTTATTTATTCATTTTTATATTTGTTAAAATTAAATCAAGTATTTTCTAGAAGTATTTAGAAAAATTGGTAGATTAATAAGTACTATATTTGAAAAGTTTAGAAACTATATTAACTTATTCAAGTAAAACAAGGCTTATACAATAAGAAAGAAATCAAGTGGATCAAGTTACACACCACTGCTTATACTGCCGCTTATGTTTTCTTATTAAGTCACTTAGCCATTAAACATTATATTCCAAAGCATATAGAGGCTGCAAACTATGCTTTGAAAGATGTCAATTTTAGAAATTAAATAGAAGTGAGAATTATTACTTCTTCTTGCTCTCTCTTTGTGTGTGTATTTGAGTTTTATATAAGTCTGTGAGATATTGGATCGAACTTTAGTATGGTCGAAGGGTAGCTTCTGGTTCGACATGAATTAAGCATGAGGTCGAAGTATGTTCGCATGCTGCTGTCGGAGTAATGCGTGTTGTAGTCGAAGTTTGTTCTAACATGCATTAGTCGATATTGCTAGGGTTGTTAGCATGTTGAATTGGGTATTGCTTGTAAGCTCAATTGTTTAAGTTAACTTGTAATGGGTAATTGTTAAAAAGCCTATTAAGTTAGTGTGCTATTTTTCTTGTATACTTGTATACTTGTAATCCTAATTTTCTAGAAGAGAGAGAGATAATTTTGTTATTCTTGTATACTTGTAATCTTGTTTTAAGAGAAAGGAAAGAATAATCGTATTATAACCAATCCTTGTTGTTCCTTGTTGTTTTACCTTATCTTCTTTGTTAACCCTAACCATTGTGTGTTTCTTGACATTAAGAAACCGTTTATATTTTGTTTTAAGGTATCTGATTCACAACAAATTGATGCGGTGAACGTGGAGAAGATGCCTTCAACAAAGTATGAGATTGAAAAGTTCACCGGAGTGAACGACTTCGGTCTGTGGTACTTGAATATGAAAGTTCTACTGGTTCAGCAGGGTCGTTTGGAAGCGTTGAAGGGAAAGGCAGTCATGGACGTTGCGTTAACGGTAAAAGAAAAGACAGGCATAATTGAGAAAGCCCACAGCACAATATTGTTGAGCCTTGGTGATAAGGTTCTTCGACAGGTAGCAAAAGAGACTACAACATCGGGATTATAGGTGAAACTCGAAAGTTTGCACATGATCAAATCTCTAGTGAATCGACTCTACCTGAAGCAAGCTTTGTACTCATTCAAGATGAGTAAAGACAAAGTTTTGGCTGAGCAGTTGGATATGTTCAACAAGCTGATTCTTGATCTTGATAATATTGATGTCAAGATCGATGATGAAGATCAAGCACTGTTGATGTTGTGTGCTTTGCCCAGAACACATGCTCACTTCAAAGAAACTCTGTTGTATGGAAGGGAGTCCCTGACCTTTAAAGAAGTTTAATCAGCCTTGTATTTTAAGGACTTGAACGAACAAAAGGAGCATAAACCTTCGACAGTGGGCGAAGGTTTGGCCGTTAAGGGAAAATTCTTGCAAAAGGATGGTAAGTTCGACAAGAAGAAAGGTAAAAGTCAAAAGAAGTCTTATAGTGGCGAAACATCTGGTATTCGATGTTATCACTGTAAGAAAGAGGGTCACACAAGAAAAATGTGCCCTGAATGCCTAAAAGATCATGGAGGTAATGGCAATGCAGTCATTGTTCAAGATGACTTCGACTCATCTGATGTTCTTATGGTTTCAAGTGGCGACTCGAGAAAAGAGTGGATTATGGATTCAGGTTGCACTTGGCACATGATTCTAAACAGAGAATTGTTCGAGGAGCTATGTGATCAAGATGGTGGATTTGTGCTGCTAGGAAACAACAAATCTTGAAAAATTGCAGGTATTGCATCTGTGAGATTCAAGCTCCGTGATGAGTCAATAAGGTTATTGACTAAAGTCAGGTATGTACCTGACTTGAAGAGAAATTTGAGTTCTCTTGGTGAATTCAACAGAAAGGGATATGTTTTTTCAAGGAGAGAAAAGTATTCTAAGAGTCATGAAGTGGTCGAAGGAAGTCTTGAGAGGCATGAAGAAACAAGGCTTGTATACCCTAGAGGCTGAGGTTGTAAGTGGTTTGACAAATGTTGCATCCACGAAATCTGTGTCGAAGACAAAATTATGGCACATGAGAATTGGCCATGTCAGCGAAAGAGGCCTGGTCGAATTGGGGAAGCAGAACATGCTAGAAGGTGACAAAGTCGAATAGTTGGAGTTTTGTGAATCTTGTGTATTTGGTAAATCCTATAGGGCGAAGTTTAACAAAGGCAAGCAAAGAACACATGGATCCCTGAATTACATTCATGCTGATCTTTGGGGGCCTGCAAAGAATCCTTCACACTCAGGTGCAAGGTATTTTCTATCCATTGTTGATGACTATTCCAGAAAGCTATGGGTATTCATTTAGAAGACGAAGGATGAAACTCTTGAGAATTTCAAAAGTTGGAAGATTATGGTCGAAACTCAAACTGGAAGAAAGGTCAAGAGGTTGAGAACTGACAATGGCCTTGAATTCTGCAACGAAGCGTTCGACAGTTACTGTGTTGAGTCTGGGATTGCAAGGCATAAGATTGTAGCAGGTACTCCTTAACAAAATGGCTTAGCTGAGAGATTCAATCGAACAATCCTTGAAAGGGTTAGATGCATGTTGGTTAGTGCTGGATTGAAGAAGGTGTTTTAGGCAGAAGTTGTTTCGACAACAGCTTACCTGATAAATAGATGTCCCTCGGCTGCCTTGGGAATGAAAACACCTAAAGAAGTTTGGTCCAGATATCCACCTAGTCTCGACAGACTAAGAGTATTTGGTTGTGTGGTATATGCTCATATTAGGCAAGACAAGGTCGAACCTAGAGCTCTGGAATGCATGTTCATGGGATACCATGAAGGAGTCGAAGCTTATAGGCTATGATGCCTAGAGCCAGGTCTTAGGAGGTGTGTCGCCAGTCGAGATGTAGTTTTCAATGAAGCAGAGATGGCTTTCAAGAAAACTGATGATGCTGATGAAGAGCTGGAACAGGGATAGATTCCTGTTGAGGTGGAGCATATTGATTCTGAATTGTGTACCTCAGAAGAAGTCGAAGAAGACGCAGAAGATGTTGTCAAAGATGAGGATACTGATAATGACTACCTACTAGTAAGAGACAGGTCGAGGAGAGTCATCAAGCCACCTCATAGACTTGGGTATGCAGATCTTATAGCTTATGCCTTAATCTCTGCAAGTGAGGTTCTAAACAAAGAACCTAGAGACTATAAGGAAGTTATAAGGAGTCTGTTGCGGTGGAAATAGGATCACAAACTATTAATTAGTTTGAATCGCAATTCAATTCACAACCGCTCTTTGATTTATCCGAAGGAAAAGGTCAAAAGAGGGAAAACCTATTTTGCATCGTAAACACAATGCGGGGAAAGATCTAGGGTTCGGGGGTTGGTTAAATTTAGGGAAGGTACTAGCACCCTAAACTTCCGTAGTACTCTACGGGAACCTTTTGTTCAAATGTTTACTATTTGCTTTATTTATTTGCTTAAGGTATATGCACAAAGGATTAAAAGTGAGAAAAGAGACCTAAGGGGTTAATTCTAAGTTTACTCGGCAAGACATCGCATCTTGTGCCTACGTATCCTTACGGGAGTGGAATCAGAGTAATCGTAGTTCCCCTCAAAAGGGAGGTTAGAAACTTCTTGACTGTGGTCAAGGTCTCAAGGGGAATAAACGCATCTTAAGGACACGCTTACGTGGAGTGTAGAAACTCCAAATCTCTACGTTGAAATGTTAAGTTGTAATTAGGGTTAAATTAGGGATTCCACGGCGGGAAACCCTAAAATGAGCGCGGCGGCTCTTTGACCTAATGCTAGGGGTAAAATTGTAATTTTGCCTGCGGCGAGGCATTTGTGAAAATTAGGGTTTGTAGTTTGTAGTTTTGAGGATTTGAAATTGAATGTGTGAAGTTTTACGGACTATTGGCGCGGCGGCCAAACAGTTAGACCTAACCTTCGGATGTGTGCAATGTGACAGAAATAATGGTAAACGCGTGAGATAATTGAATCATGCAAACAGAGAGATAATGTCATAATTTAAACCATGCAAGCAGAAATTTAAAGGCAGAATTTAAAGAGCGATTGTTAAGTTCGCGAGGTTACATGAGAGGAGCAGATACAATATGATAATGAAATTTAAATTGAACAATAATAAAATAAAATAAATAACGGTTCTAGTTATTATTTTTAAAAAAAAGATTTTAGTTATTATTTTAAATTTATCTAAAAAAAGTTTTTCTTAAAAATAATAGGTTTTCATATTAATTTGGAAAAGATGTTAATGTTATTTATTTTAAAAAACAGATTTTTATATTATAACAAGTTTTAATAAATTAATGATAACAATAATAATAATAATGGTAATAATAATGATAATAATGATAATAATAATAAATAATGATAATAATAATACTACTACTACTAATAATAATAATAATAATAATAATAATAAAGCAATAATGAATTTTAAATGTGTCAAATAACCCAACAATGTTGCTAACGCAGAAATGC